ATCTTAGGTAACTCTGTTTCTATTAATCCCTTCTGTCTCTGCCTTTTGGGCGAGGTGGGCAGTGGGGAAAGGGAAGAGAGGCAAAAACCCATATCTTTCCAAGTATTTATATATTTTCTCATTTTGTACAACTAGGTTTATTTGCTTACTCACTGTATCCACAGCATGACACTGAAATCGTTCTTGCCATTGTCACCAGTCAACTCCTTATTGCCAGGACTAGTGGGCCTTATAATTTTATTTTTGGAAAAGATGGGTGTTAAAGTCAATAAAACCATAAGAACTTTGGGAGAAAGTTTATATTGTTAGCACAGAAAAGAAAAAAAATATTTCCTGGAAAATACATACTAACACTTATATTCATTGAAAATATAGTAGTTAATAAAATGAATAAAAGTTCCAATTTAGAGCTTATTATATTTTTAAGATTTTAATGTACTTATTTTTGCATAGAAGACCTGGGGTGTATACCAGAGATGCAGGGGCTGAAAAGATTCACCAGAGACAGAGTGGAGAGCAGAACAGGCAGATCTACTGAAATACACTGCTAAGGGGAGCAGAAGGTAAAACAGGAGAGGTCTGCTGTACCATGTGGGTTATTTCCTTGGCTGGGGATCAGATTCAGGCTGTTGTGGTGCTAGTGCTGAGCCATAACCCATGGGCCACCAGGGAGGCTCTGGAGCTTATTTTAGTTGAAGGAAATGGGCAAATAAATGAAATGTCAGGTAATGCTGAAGAATTCTTACACAAAAATAAAGCACACAATTAGGAGTGGGACTTTGGAAAGGGTAGATTTTAGATGACCTGGCCATATTAGTAAGGAAGACTTTCTGGGACTATGATATTTGAGCAAGAACAAAAAGAGATGAGCAAGGAAAACATGCAGCTATCTGGGTATGAGTGATACTCGCATACTCTTTATTTGGTCTTAGTGTAAATACCTCTTTGTGGTATGAAATGTTTTTATAAAGATTCTTGTTCTTATGATAAAAAAATAGTGCATTTTTTTGGTACACTGTTGCAAATTGACTTATAGGAAAATACTTTTTCATAATTTAGTCTTATAGAATAAGTGAAAACAAATTCTAAAGTTAATTTAATTTCACATTTCCTTCGGTATCTAAATGCTTGGTTGCATTCTTTCATAGTTGGACAGTTTGGACAGAGGCATCTTTATTCCAAAAAGAGATGTAGATCTTTAAGTACATGAAACATTAACTGAGAAAACATAGTACAGCTCTATAGGACTCCAACTTACTGAGGGCTCAACAAATTTTTGGTTGAAAATTTAGCATTTGTATACTAAAATTTCAGCAAAATAATTGGTTTTTTTTTGAAAACAGTAAAACTACATTCTCTATATTTAGAACCCCAGTATTTATGTGGTTATGTGTAGTTGTCAGAATGGGGTCTCCCCCCATTCTGGGTGGAGCCCTATATAGTGATAAAAGGATTAATATGGTTTTTGTTTTTAGTTTTCAGAGAAACTCAATAGTTAGATGAGAGCATTCAGCAATCAGCTTCTGGAACTTGATTCCAGTATCCCTCCCTCATCTACTTTACCACTACCCCCCCACCCACTCCCACCCCCGCCCAAGGTTAGGGGTTTTAGGAGACAGAGAGTAGGCAGTGGCATATCCTTTTGTTGGAATTTAAGAGCTGATAATAATGAATTACTGTCTATTTCCTTTCCTAGTTTCTTAACATAATAGAGTGGAGAAGCTCTGTGTATCTGAAGAACATTATGTTGTCAAATTTGTTCATGACTCATGGGGAAGAGGGAAAAGAATAAGCTGTTGCGGGCTTGATAAGGATTTGATCTTTTAAAATGAGGTGCTTACATAGCAAACTTGAAGTATTGGCTTTAATATCTACTCTTTCCCCCTCCACTCCCCCCAATATCTACTCTTGAGCAAATGCCAGAACTGCTGCTAAACAGCATCTATGACCAGTGAAGTTATGTAACTCTCCTTAAATCAGCACTTTCTTTTAGCATTTTTAGTTGATCTGTAATAGCTTTGAAAAGATAGGTACTGTTGTCATTCTAAAGTGTACAAATTTTCAATATTCTTGTCCTCCCAGTTTTTGTCTCCATTCTGCTCGAGTTGGACCTAAAAGAAGTCTCCCATCTCCAGTAGATAATATTTAAGGCCCATTCTAGCAATAGTCTGTGATTCTTTCTTACCGTGTTTTTGACCAGATAATGTTATTGATAGGATAGCATTCTGGTTCCATTTCAGGAAAGTTAATGACAAGTTGTCATTTCCTTAACATTTACACAGTTATGCATTGGGTGATTAAAGAAAACTCAGATTTTTTTAAAGTCACCTTGTATTATAACCTAAGTGGTACTGGTGTGTCACTAAAAATCAATGTGTATATACTTCAGAAAGTTCACCACTGAAAGTCCAACTCTGTCTTTCACCATGAAATTGTCTCCTTTTATCTGATCTACCAATCCATTTCCCCTTCTTTTTGATAACCACTAACTGATTTTATAGTCTCAAAAATTGATTCTTTTATTTAGTTCATCTATTTGTTTTCTCTCTTTATGTACCATATATAAATTAAATCATATGGTGTTTGTTTTCCTGTCTGACCTATTTTACTTGCTACAGTATCCATCTATGTAGTCACAAATGGAAAGATTTCATCTATTATTTTTGTTTTATAACTGAGTAGTATTACATGTGTATGTGTACCACATCTTTTTCCATTCATCTGTCACTGGGCACTGAGGTTGTTTCAGCTCTTGGCTATTGTAAATAGTGCTGAAATAAATGTTGGAGTGTATATAGACAAAACTCAAATTTAAAATTTACATAGCCATACAAAGCATGATTTGGTTTTCTTTTAAAAAAAAAGATTTATTTATTTATGCGTACAAGAGCTGGGGTACAGGCCAGAGATGCGGGGGTGGGGGTGAGAGGATTCACCAGAGACAGAGTGGGGAACAGAACAGGCAGACTGACTGAAATACACTGCTGAGGGGAGCAGCGGGCAAGACAGGAGAGGTCTGCTGTGCCATGTGGGTTGCTCCCTGGCTGGCCAGGGATTGAACTTCTGCTGCAGAGGCTGCAGATTGCTTCATAGTGTGGTGCTTAACCCCTTGCACCACCAGGGGTGTCCGGTTTTCATTTTTTAATATAACTCTTCTCTCCCTCCTCCCATTAAAAAAATAATGAATTTGTGACCATACGTTAGGAAAACCTAGCAAAGCAGAGTTCTATAATTTTGCCATCTGAAAGTAAACACTGGAAACATTTTGATGTCCCACCTTCCTGTATGTTTTCAGTTTATACACAGTTGGACAGCCTCAATATACACTATTTTACAACTTAAACTGTATTATGAATATAGTATGTCATTAAATATTCTTTTTTTAAAAAATTATTTTTTATTTATACAATAGCTGGGGTACAGGCTAGAGGCACAGGAGGGTGAGAGGATTCAGCAGAGACAGAACAGGGAGCAGAACAGGCAGACGGACCAAAAGCACTGCTGAGAGGAGTAACAGGAGAGGTCTGCCTAGAACCCTCATCGCAGAGGCTGCGGACAGCTTCACAGCTCTGCGCTCAACCTGCTGCACCATTGGGGAGGCCCTGTCATTAAATATTCTGAAATATTTTCAATAATTACATTATAACAGTATTTAATGTGTATCATTGGCTGTTAACTGGCTTTCAAATTTTTGCTTTTACAAATTATACTAAACAGAACTTTATGCATACATCTTTGAGTACCTCTTTGGCTATTTATTCAGGATGATTTTTAGTTTCATATGCATGGTATTTTTAGTTTTTATTTTACTGAAACAAAGTTTGCTAGAAGAAGAAAAAACTAATTTACTTAGTGCTCATATACCAGAAACTATGCTTACTTTGTAGTCTTAAAACTGTTTTCAGGGCCTCCCCAGTGGTGCAGCGGTTGAGTACTGGGTTGCGAAGCTGCCTGCAGTCTCTGCAGTGCCGGTTCCATCCCGAGGGTCCCACATGGCTCGCAGACCTCTCCTGCCGCCTGCTGCTCCCCTCACCAGTGTACTTCGTCAGTCTGCCTGCTCTACTCTCCGCTCTGACTCTGGTGAATTCTCTCACCCTCCCGTGCGTCTGACTGTACCCAGTGCTTGTATAAATAGATAAATAAATAAATAAATCTTTGGGAAAAAAACCCACTGTTTTCATACCCAGTTTTACAGATGAAGCCTCCATATATACATACAAGATATTTTGCAGTAGGCTAACAGAATGCAGAAAAATGTTTAAATGTTTTACTCAGGGGCCTCCCTGGTGGTGCAAGGGGTTAAGTACAGTACCTTGAAGCTATCTGCATCATGAGTTTGATCCCAGGCTGGCCAGGCTGCACCCACATGGTGCAGCAGACCTCTCCTGTCTCACCCACTGCTTGCCTCAGCAGTGTATTTCAGTCAATCTGCCTGTTCTGTTCCCCACTCTGTCTCTGGCGAATCCTCTCACCTCCCACATCTCTGGCCTGTATGCCAGTTGTTGTATGCATAAATAAATCTTTACAAAAAATAAATGTTTTATTCAGCAAATAACAAAGGTATTTGATAGTCTCAGAAGATAATGAATTTGTAATATATGTTATTAGCATTTGGTATCTTTTTTTGCTTTACCTGAAGGATTTTAGATTAAAAAAATTATATGTTAATTGTTTTTCTTAGCTCTGGAAGAGAAAAAGTGGGTGTTTTATGAATTTTGGATTTTGGTCACATAAATTTATAATTCACTTTTTGTTTTGAAATTAGAACTACGTAATAATTGTCAGTGAAGCTCTTAAGAGGTGAAGTTGAGAGATATAAGGATGAAATGTTTGCAGAGTACTGGTGGAAGTCAGGTGGCAGGTGAAATGATGAGGTGCTTTTGCAGCTGGTTTAGCCCTCTCCCATTAGACATGTGTCCACCCTATTTTGATAAGTGGGATTGGGCTTGTTTTTAGGATCTGATGTTTGTTATCTAACACAGTGGTTTGTTTTGTCTTAGTCACATCGATCAGACAACCACATGGCAAGACCCTAGGAAGGCCATGTTCTCCCAGATGAACGTCACGGCCCCCACCAGTCCCCCAGTGCAGCAGAATATGATGAACTCGCCCTCAGGTGAGTGAGAATGCTGTCCGCAGTGCTTGTGTGCAAGGAAACTTCCTGTATAAGCAGTGACAGTTCTTTTAGAGAAACTGGAGCATTGGGGATGCTAATTTTCTATCCAGTTTCATATGGGGTGGGGGGACATGTCACACCATCACCCTGTTGAGTCATTGGTACATAAATGGGCTAGAACTGAAAACCAATGAGTTTTCAATTTCAGTTCTTAGTTTGGTTAATTTTGACATGCTTGTGTTTTATTCTACTGGTTTCTTTGTCTCAGGTGTTCAGAGTTGAAGTTTTCTTTTTCTTTTGTGGCTTGGATGTGAAGCCAAGCTACAGTGATCTGAACCCTCGTTTAAAGTGAATATTCACTCTACCTTGAGAGTAACTAGATGGTATCAATTTATAAATGCCAAAGAATCTTTTTTGGATCTAGCCATGTGTATTTGAAAGCATTTCTCACTTTTAAACAAAATACAAGCTTTAAAATATATTTTTTTCTGCCTCTTATTTGGCAGTTTATATAAATCTGCCGTTTTTCTTGTCCACATTATGGAGAATAACAATGCCTCTTACTATAGAGGAAGATTACAAAGGAAATAATGCAGTAGATATGTAGTGTCTATTGCATTTCTAATGCAAAGTAGCTACTAAGTCAAAGTTTAGTTCCTTCCTCTAGTTGTAAACTATTATCCGACTGCTTTCTTGGCTAGGACCCATGAATTAGATCATCTAATCATTTTAGGAAAAGATTCTCTTTCCCCAGGTAAGATGCAATCCCATGCCTAGCATCAGGAAGTACAGCATTTAGTATTTCTGACCATTCCCTTTCCTTCAGTCACTCTCTCTTTAAAACCCCTTTTTGCTGAGTCAGGGCACAGAAGGAATGACAGGAATTGGCAGCCCTAGCAGCCACAATGGCCTTTTCCCTCACAGCTCATCTATCTCCCTGCCCAACAAAGTGACCATAATATTGGTAGCTGCATTATAGAGTTTCTTAAAAAGCAGTCTTTGGAGAGGAGGGACTCTTGGAGGCAGGGAGGAGTAAAATGATTCATTGACAAACAGGTTCCTTGACTAGGAGAGTCACAGAGGCAAAATGTTCTTTTGCCCTTAGACATGATGCCAGAAAATGTTGCTGTGCCATAACACTGGGTCCTTGCTTTAGTGGGTTGAACAATTGAATTCTAAAGAGTCAGGAGCGGAAAACAGAAATCAAGACAAGATTTGTGACTGAACTCTTCTTGTCATAATTTCTTTAGATAAACTTGAGGAAAATTTGATTCTTCAGAATCTCCTGTATTGGCTTATTTTAATATCAATACATTTACTTATCAGTCTGTTGTATATGTGACTTTTAACTTATACATTAAAATTTTTATTTTATTTTTTTAAAGATTTATTTATTTATGCATACAGGAGCTGGGGTACAGGCCAGAGATGCGGGGAGTGAGAGGATTCACCAGAGACAGAGTAGGGAACAGAACAGGCAGACTGACTGAAATACACTGCTGAGGGGAGCAGCGGACGAGACAGGAGAGGTCTGCTACGCCATGTGGGTTGCTCTCTGGCCCACCAGGGATCGAACTCGTGCTGCAGAGGCTGTGAATTGCTTCATAGTGTGGTGCCTAATCCCTTGTGCCACCAGGGAGGCCCTTTATTTTATTTTTAATTTTTTTTTATTTTTGTGTAGAACTGGGTTGTAGGCCAGAGACGCAGGGTTGAGGGGGAGGTGGTGAGAGGATTCATCACAGACAGTGGGGAGCAGAACAGGCAGTTTCACAAAAATACACTGCTAAGGGGAACAGCAGGAGAGACAAGAGAGGTCTGCTGCACCATGTGGGTGAGCTCCCTGGCCTGATGGAACTCATGCTGCAGTGGCTGCCTATATAGCTTGATAGTGCTGAGACTTAATCCCTAATCCCTAATCCCTAGGAAACCCCTGTATTACATTTTTTAAATTTATGCATACAAGAACTAGGGTGTATGTCAGAGGTGTGGGGGTGGGTAAGAGGATTCACCAGAGACAGAGTGGGAAGCAGAACAGGCAGAGCTACTGAAGTACACTGCTGAGGGGAGCAAGACAGGAGAGGTCTGCTGCGCCATGTGGGTCAGCTCTCTGGCCAGGGATCAAATTCATGCTGTAGTGGCTGCTGATAGTTTGATAATGCTAAGATTTACCCCCTTGTGCTGCCAGGGAGGCCCTATTAAAATTTTTTTTAGTAAAAAAGTAAAGAATTTACTGACAGGCAATGTTTATTACATTTACCACTTGGAAACTTTTTTTATTTGTCAAATTTCTGTAGATTGTGAGAACAACCTTGTATTTATAATACAAATACAATTGACATTGTTTGTGTTGTCATGCTCCTCTAAAGTGCACCTAAGATATCAGTAACAAGTAACTCATTAAATTTGATTTGGTAAACTATGGCTTTTGCATTCAATAAGGTTGATTCTGATTCTTTTAGAACATAAAAAAATTTTTTTTGTTAAATTTTCTAATAGAATGGTCTGAAGAAGTGAGAAGGATTTGTATTCAAATGTATTCTTAAAGTCACAAGTGTAAATAACAGGTTTTAGAAATGTGCGTATATTTTTTCCAGCTCTGCATTTTGGTGGTTAAATATGAAATGTGTTTTTCATACTGAGGATAAATTAGTAGGCATTTTGACTTAGAGCAGTATTTAGTAAAGAGATGACGTTGGCAGGAACAGTTTGAGCTGCAGAAGCAGAAATGTGGGTTAGGAGTGAGGGGAGTTTGGAAAAAGGTTGGAGTCAGGGCCTTGGAGGCAGGACCTGAAATGGGAAATGCCACTGCCAGAGAGATCTGAGCATTTTTAAGTGAAAGTAGAAGCATTGAAATAATAAGTCGTATTTATTTACCAATCATTCTGGTGAGTTTATTTGTACTATCTCATTTAATTCTCATAGGGGCCAGTTAGGTTAGGTGCTGTTACTAGTTTCCCCTCAAATATGAGAAAAAGTTTGAATAACTTTCCCCAAATTACCCAACTTTTAGGTGATAGAAGCCAGGATTCAGAATTTGGTAATGGGGTAATAGTAACTACATGTGAACCAGAGTTAGAATAAGTGACAGTGAAGCACTACAGAAAGCAGAGGGAGATAGAGCCCTGGGGGTACTGTTATAAAACAGTGGCAGATATACTGGAGAACCACCTACCTTTATGAGGTGTGCTTAAGGAGGTCTTGTGTCTAATATAAAACATACTACCTACAAGAAGGGCAAATACTTAGTATACTAGAAGTCATTGTTTCTAATGGGGTGGTTGGACAGTATGATAACTTGTAAATCAGGAAAAGACTACCTGGCAGGTTTGGTGAAAGCAGAAAGAGGTTTTATTAATTAATGTTTAAGACAAAAAATTATCCTTCAAAGAGAAGGGATCACCAAAAATTTCAAAATGAGAGTAAGGTGTTAAACTAAGTACACATATGAATATTCCCAGGACAGATTTAAGTCTGGATTATTGGTCACAAATTTAAGTAAGGGTTTAACTGTTAAACCAGGGATGAGGTTTTGATAGCATCTGTACAGTACATGCCTCTTTTCACAATGAACTTGATTGCTCTTTCATACCTTTCATTGCAGTGGATATTTCAAGATAAATGGAGGACTTCTGCAAGGTCTTGAAATGCTTTGGAAGATTGTCACAGGGTTGTAATCTTGACATATGTTACATTCACAAAAAACTATAGTCACAATGTCACCTTTAAGGAGTTTTCTGCCTAGGGACCACTCAATCTGGGTAAGCTCCAGGCTGTTTTCAGGGAAGGGTACAGTATAATCTCCAAGGACTCTAAGAAAAATGTCCTGCCTCTCTTGGTCCAGGGTTGCTCCTTGAGAAAAGCAGCAAAAGTGACACTCCACTGTGCTTGAAAATGATCTTTTCAAGATCTTTAAAGAGCCGAACAAGAAAAATTGTTAGGGTATGAATTAATAATTTTTGAGGATATTTACTGTAATGAAGCAGCAGTGGCTTACGGGTCAACAGGAAGCAACTGCAGACATTCCCACAGTGAATGGAATACCTTCACATCTACTCATCCAAGCCTGATAGACCAGAAAGCTGAACAACTCTTTTTTTTTTTTTTTTTAAAGATTTGTTCATTTATGCACATAAGAACTAGGGTACAGGCCAGAGAGGTGGCGGGGGTTGGGGGGAGGTGAGAGGATTCACCAGAGACAGAGTGGGGAACAGAATAGGCAGATTGACTGAAATACACTGCTGAAGAGAGCAGCGGGCGAGTCAGGAGAGGCCTGCTGCGCCATGCGGGTCACCTCCCTGGCTGAGGATCAAACTCGTGCTGCAGTGGCTGCGGGTAGCTTCATAGTGCTGCATTTCAACCCCTTGTGCCACCAGGGAGGCTCCTGCACAACTCTTTTGAAGTACTTTGTTGGGTTAAATGCAAACTAGATTTTCACTTTTATTAGTAGTTATTTCAACAGGAACTTTCAGTTTTCTTTTTTAAAAAAGAAGTCTCATTTTAATACTTGAGTCTGGCTTGGTGTTTTGCTCTTTTTTTCTAAGCAATCGCTTTCTTTAAAATAAGATTATTTTCTCTAAACTCTCCAGACCTGTTGTCTGCATAATTTTTAATGGTTCTTTGGACTGAATGATCTCTTCAGAGACTGTCCAATCATGAGATTTCATATAATGCTCTTTGTTTATGTCTAATTTGTTTTAGCAAACAGTGATAAGAATTAACTTGTTCTTACAAGTCCTTTTTCAAAATATGATATTGACTTGATGGATTTTATTGTGAGATTGGAGACCTGTGGTTTGTAATTGGACAGCTTTCTGAATAAATATAGTTGAGAAATAACTTATAGGTGTGCCTAGAAAAGGTTATGGAGCAAGACTAACTAGATCTGATGAGGAAGATTAACTTACGTTCTTTAACTGTCAATTTAAGACAAATCACAGTGAACCTTTGTGAAAGGGATTTGTAAGGTGAGGAAAAGAAAATTTTGGAGTGAAAAGAAATTA